TAGCAGCACCAGAACCTATATAAAATTAAATTATAATATATTTAATAATATCATACCTGATTTTTTTGAAAGGGAATAAAATTTATTAAATTTTGACTTTATAGCTGTGAACTTTTTTTTTATTTGCTCATAGTTTAATTCATATATCTTCCCTATCTCTTCCCATTTTATTTTACTTGCTGCAGTGTCCCTATATTTGAGGTCGCTATTACACCAAAGAAATCTATGAGGCCTTATTTTTTCCATCAAATTAGATTCATTCGCCATCTTTTCGCACAAATTACAAAAGTTTAAAGAAAAAAAGATTAAAGTTTTACGAATCATAAAATTTGTAAGAATCGTGTAATATGCGCAAAATCGAAAAAATCATTTAGGCCAACATTTTAATTTTCCGTTTAAAATGGCTTATATTTTTTTTTTCGTTAAACTCGCGCAAATTGCGCGAGATTATTTTTATGCAATTTTTGATATTTAGGACATAGCCTAAATAATAAAAATAAATTATGTTGTAAATTTATAATTTTGTGATGAAAATGGCAAAGCCACATGCGTTTTTTTTAAATATTTTTGCAGTTGTTTATTAATTATTATTTTTTTAGTTATTTACTTAGATAATTTTTTTTTAAGAAAATATTTTTTTATTAAATTTAACTTTAATTTTAAAAATAAAATTAAGTTTTTTTATATTTTTGAAGTTAAGTTTGTTATTAATTTTTATTTTATAAAAAGTGTAAATTGAAGATTTTATATATTTTGACTTCAGAATAGGCAGGAAAAAAGAGGCTTGTTTATAACCAACCACCCCCCCCCCTTTCTAAATAAAAACGTCCCAAAAGTATTCTAAATATCCCATTCAAACTCAATCTTGCCGAATTTATAAACTAATGGTATCAAATGTACTTATCTAACATACATTTATAAAATTAGAAAAAAAATAGCGATGAAATTAAACAAATCCGGCCAGAAAGTTCGTATCTAATTCTGAACTAGGATGGTATAAATTAATCGCTCGGCTAACTAACATAATAATTCATTTTAATCTTATTTTTTTGATATTTCTAAGCCCTAAGTGGTCTCGATTAAAAAAATTTTAACCCTAAGCTGAGTTACTTGCAAGATTTTACTATCTAACCATAGAAAATGTCATATTTATATTTTTGGTAAATATTTTTTATTTGAACTATTTAAAATAAAATTATTCATCTGGACCCCGGGTCTGAACCCCGGATCTAAACCCCGAGTGTGTGCTCGGGGTTCGTGCTCAAAGCTGGTTTGGTAGATTTTTTAGACCCCCTCTGGGTTTTACACAACCAACCAATTAACAATACTACCGCAGCGTTAATTCAGCATGGCGACAATTCGGCGCAACGTCAATTCAGCGCGGCGATAAATGCAATTTTTTGTAAATTTATTTGCATAAAAAAGAGAATGATTAAATAGAAGTTTATTTGAATGCTAGTCCTATTAATTATTTCTTTACATTTTTTTTACAAAAATCTTAATTTTGTCGGTTCTCTTTGCGACCAATATGTGAAGGAATAATGATAAATTTGCCATTAAAAAAGAATGAGGGATGTAATGAGAGTGGAGTTATTGATCTCGAGTTTAGAAATGAGCGTTATACCTTTTTGTGGGGTGAATATAAAATATTGTAAATCATCGTGCAAGACAAATATTTAAAGATAGATTTCAATGAATGGTGTGGTGGTGAATAAAATTCAAAAACTAATGTAGCGGCGAAAGTGTAGAATAATATTGCGAAATAAAATAGCGTTGAATTAAAATAAAAAAATAGAAAACGGCAAGTGCTATAAATTATACATTTATATGAAGCTATGGTGTGAAACTTAAAAAGTTTTTTCAAAATAACATAGAGTTCAAGTTCACAGGGAGAGATAGCAATTTCTTAAACAATAAACATAAGAAAATATAGCTAAAGGCGGTGTCAAAAAAAGGAGTGAGGTGAGTAGTAATGGGTTGAAATAACAATAAGGAGAAAATAATAAAATAAAATGAGTTGGTTCCATGAGAGAAAAATATATTCACGAGATTAATATTAGATAAATATTATGCGAGGAAAATCCTCCTTTATAAAAAAGGGGGTGTCTTCAAAATGGTGAATATTTGCAAATAATATATTTAGGATAAAGATGCTAAAATATTTTTTTTAAAAGAAGAAAGATATCCAATATTTTTTATCTTTAATTTTGGGATAAAAACGTTAAAGAATAAAAGAGAATTGAAATGGTGATAAAAGAAATTGGTGAGATATTGAGTAGAATATAACAGCGTTTTGGATAATTTTTTTTTAAAATAAAATAATGAATACAAGGTTAAATATTTTTCTTGGTTTAAAAAAGGGTGAATAGAAAAAAAAGATAATATTTCAATCTAGAGAAATTTTTTTAAATGAGTTGATGAATAACTAAAATATGTAGATTTTTGAAATAAAAGAAAAATAAAATGAAGTGGAATTATTTATTTTTTCGATTTAAATGAATTAACCAATATGTGTGTTGTAAGCGATAGGAATTTTAGGGGCGAAATCGGGGAGAATTCTAGGGGCGAAATCGGGGAAAATTATAGAGGAGAAATTGAGATGAAATTTAGGGGATCAATTGGGAAGGGGGCTCATTGGGGAATATTTGGGGGGACTTAATGGGGTTCGGGGAAGAGTTGGATTGAAATATTTTGGGATGAATTTTAAAAAGAGAATACAAAAGAGGTGTTTAAAATTTGCTTAAGAATGTTAATATATTGGAATGAATTTTAAAAGAAGAGGGATACAAAAGTGGAGTTTTATATTTGTGTAAAATTTTAATTGAAGTATTAGTATTGGAAATTTTGAATTTAAAATATATGTAGATTACTTGAATATTTCTTAATGTCGCGGTAAATTGGGAGAGAATAAAGTGGTGAATTAAAAAGGAAAGAAAACGAGTTGATCTAACCAATAGAATGATGGAATGAAGATCGACGATTATATGTGAAGAATTATTTTGTATTACCAAGAAAAAGCAGAAGTGTTTTTTTTAGAAAATCAAGAAATGATTGTGTCAATGGTTGTAGATTATCAACTTGCAAAAAAAAGAAATTAAGGAAATTCATTCAAGCTCAATGAAGCCTACGGAGGAAAACTATTAATGTTGAGTACTAATATCCGTTCAAACTCGATAAAGCGATAGATAGTTAATTGGGTCCAGATAACAATATTCGTTCAAGCTCAATGAAGACTGCGGAGGGAAATCATTAAAGTTGGGTCAAGATAACTAATATTCGATCATAAATGACGCAGCCAATGCCTATTTCAGCGAAACTATTTGGATTAAAATGAAACCACTACACTATCAAAAATTTTGGAAGGAAGATAAATTCATATGGCGGGTATATGGATATATTATTCAAAATAGGAATAAAATGGGGTAAGTTAAAGAAAAAATATATATTCTCATTTCGAATCATATTTGTTGGTTAATTGATAATAATAAAATAGTTTGGAATTAATTATAATTAGTAATAGAAATTCATTATAAAACCGAATATATGCCACGATTGAGAGAAACCAAGTTGAATTACTAAAAGTTTGTATATTCTAAAGTCATAACGTGGAACAATATAGGCAGGGATCCAAACCGAAACGAATATCGGTTCGGTTCAGGTTCGGTTCGCCAAAAATAAAAATATCGGTTCGGTTCGAACCTCTAAAAACCGGTTTGAACACTTTTGTATTCAAACCTACATTAAAGGAAAATTTTTTTTTAATTTCATAATTAAAATAAAAACCTTCATTTTTATTAATTGCACATTATAAAATAATATTATTTATAAATATAACAAATAAATATATCATAATTTTAGTATGAACAATTATTTAAATTTTTTTTATTAAGCTGCACAACTAATATATTTTCAAAATTCGTCTCACTCAAATTACATCTATAAGGAGATAATATAAATTTATTTGTTGAAAAACATCCTCCCACACTAACTTTGGTAGCTGGCATTGCCAGTATGATATCAGACGTGATGTGTCATTTATAAAACTATATGTAAAAATTTATATATTAGATTTAAATTTTTTCTAGGCATTATAATTTATAAGCTTAAAATATTTAAAAAATATTGTAAAATGGCAATATACTAAAGTTTACAAAAATTATGACTGACGTTTATCAATCAAATGTGATTGATAATAATTTTTAAAACAGTTTGAATATAATTAGTATTTTTGCAATATACTACTAGTAAAAACTTACACATTATTTTATAAGCATAAAATAATGAGACTCGAACCAGTTCAGAGACATTTTAGCGGTTCGGTTCAGGTTCAACTAGAAATTTTTTAGAGGTTTAGGTTCGGTTTAGGTTCGATAAAAAATACCGGTTTTTAGCGGTTTAACGGTTCGGTTCAGGTTCGGTTTGGATCCCTAAATATAGGTGTCCAATGGGCTCATTTATGGAAGGCATGTCATATTTGTCATATTATTATTGAAAGTTATTTATTTTAAAAAAAAGTTTTGTTTAATATTTATCATATCGCTATTTTATATATCATGTGTAGAATGCGTGATTTTTTTAAAGTATAAAAGGGACGAGATTTTATAAATATAGTGACTTTTTTTAAAAAAAAATATTCTTTTTAGTTGGCGAATAAAATTGGAGTTGAATATTTACAATTTTAATTTTAGAGTTGTGTTGGTAAACTGTGTGAGTTGTAAAATAGCATTATACTGGTAGAGTTTTTTATAATATAATTTTCACACCCCTAATAGTGCTTCCTCTATCCTTAGAGCAAAATCCTGGCTACGTTTATGAATTATGTTATGGAAACTATATGATTTGGCCAGGTCAGATTTAAATTATTCATAATAAATTTAATTTTTAATTATGACGTTCTTTATTAAGGGCATAACTTTCTTTTTTATTTTCATGTGATTTTGACAGGTTCATACTAAAAGATTTATGAATAAAATATTTGCTGTCATTATTTACGCCTGTAACTGTCGCTCATGTTAGATATCATTTTACTCTATAGTAGGCTCAGTATATTCAACAATTTAGGGAAATAACATACCGCTAAAATTAAAAAATGCGACCAGGTATTTTTTTACATCTCTGCTTGTTTATTTTTTATCATTTTAGGATTTGGCTCAAGAGGGACACCCAGAGGTGGCGGATTTAGAGGTGGAAGAGGTAAAAATGTAAATAATTCCATTAATTTGGCTGTTATAGTTTTATAGCATACAATTATACAATTGATTTAATTTTATATGTTTTACTTTCTTAAGAATGTAAAAAATTTAATTTAAATAAAAATGTTTAATTAAGCTTATAATATAACAATCATTTTATTAATTTCTACCATCTTAGTGAATTTATTCAATATTATACATATGGATATACTTTTAATTTATCTGTATTTTAAAATAATTTACTTTGAATAAGGTGGAAACAGTACTCCACGTGGAAGAGGAGGATTTCGAGGTGGTAGGGGTGGATCTGGACGAGGAGGCTTTAAGGCAGGACAGAAAGTTGTGGTTGAGCCTCATAGACATCCAGGTTAAATTATAATAAATCTTAAGTAAAAATGAGTTTTTTTAAAAATATTATAACATTATTTTGGCATTCACCAGGGTAAATTTAAAATTTGTAAGGGATTTTTTAAAATTTAAAGCCAAAATTTAAACAATAACTACAAAATTAAGTTTATTTTTTGAAACTCATTCAAATTCCCTGAATAAGTTTGAATAACTTTTTAATTTCATATATTTACAAGGAGTATTTGTGTCAAGAGGAAAAGAAGATGCCCTTGTAACTCTTAATTTAGTTCCTGGAATTACTGTTTATGGAGAAAAGAAAATAGCTGTTGGGGTAAGATATCTATATTTTGGGACAAAAAATTATATATTTATATTTCATATGATAATTTGTCTGATTCAATTATATAACTTCAGTTCTTGATAATCTGAGTAGATTTTTTTGTATATTTGAAAACCGCAAGACATTTTTCATACCTTTTATCATTATAATGAATTTTTGTCTATTTTGAACAAAATATTCCAACCAGACAAGTTGTGCCCTTATTTATTATTTAAGCTATATATCACAATTGGGTTATAACATCAGTTGCTTATTAGATAGAACATGATTCATACAGTATAATTAGTACTTTGATTTTATGAATCAAATATTAATTTATTCAAATGATATTTATCTATTTCTTCTTCCACTGATATTGAATGTTTAAAAATATTTGTTTTTTAAATATATTACATAAAAATAATAATTTTAAAGTAGAATTTTGTAAAATTAAAAATATTAATAAAATCGCTAATGGTTTTTATGTACTATGAATGCAAATTGCAATGGTTTTGCATTGCGATGACCACTATGAATTCAGACTTACTCTTATTGCATTATAAATAAATTTGGCCATTGTTTAACAAATTGCTTTATGTTAACTTGGCCCTCTTTTAATAGCAACTGAATGGGGAGGGGGGGGGATTTAAATTGAAAACTTGGTTTTTTCCATATTTTTTGAAAAATTTTAAGTAATGTTTTGTGTTACCATTACTCAAACAATGAAATGCTCAAAAGAATGTAGACGTTATTTTTATTGATACTTTACAGAGGAAATAAATAAATTTAGTAGGGTGAAGTTATATTTTTCTAAATATAAAATTGATATAGATGAAACTTTTTTCTATGTGTATATTATAATTATAAGATTCAAGTATAATAATTTATTTTAAAATGTTTGATTTACATGTTGATGAATCTTGGGTAAAGGTCTGCATGGGATCTTGGATTTGAACATTAATAACTTTATTTTGGGGCTTGGATCGGGTTGTAAGAGGTGCCCAACCCAAAACCCAGCCCGATAAATAATAATTTATCTTAAAATGTTTGATTTACATGTTAATGAATCTTGGTTAAAGGTCTGCATGGGTTCTTGGATTTGAACCTAAAGAACTTTTATTCTTGGATCCAGTTGTAAGAGGTATCCAACCCAAAACCTAGCCCTATAAATAAATATAAATATCCTAAATAATTATTTTAATTCATAATGTCATTTTCAATTATTATTTTACATAACATACATCATATTCTATCAGGTTAATTAAAATTTATTTATCTAATATATATTTAATTAATTAGCCTCAAATTTTCAATATTTAAAATCGTTTACCAAATCTTAAATTGATGGAAGGCTTATTAAAACGACTTTCCCGATTTAAGTGTTTTTGCTCTTTAATTCCTGGCTATCCAGGCTTCCTCAGCTAACAGCAAAAGTGTGCTTTTATTAGCAGGTCCTGTGAAAATAAGAGGACTTGTTTAAAGCCTGACAAACTTGACTCCTCGTTATTTGTATATTACAATTATTCACTATGTGATACTATAGATAATGATATTGATAATATCATTATAATATGTTCATTATATCATGCACATTATTCGCAATAGATTTTAAATTTAATTTTATTTCAACTTTTTAATATTTAAACTGAATAAAAGGTATATGCCTCCAATTTAAATTATGCAAAATATTGATTATATTATGGTGGTCAAATTAATACAAATAATTTTTAATTGTTTTTGGATATTATAATATTCACACTCAAATTTAAAGAAATTTAGTTAGGTTGGGGTGAAAAAATTTTTTTTTATTCATGATTGGGTTGGGCTATGACAAAAATTTTTTCATAATTTGGGCTTGGGCTACAAAAAATTACTTTACAGGCCACCAATCTTGGGTTCCTTTATTTGAAAATATTTTATATAGACTATATTTTGCAGATATTTGTATGGCTAGGTATAAAGATAAATTGCACTCCAAGTTATATTATATAGCTTCTGTCATTAAAAACATTTATAATTATTATTTGCTTCTTAATTTAGATGATTTAGAGAGGCAATTCAGAAAAAATTTAAAAACAAACAATAAATTTAGTGTTTTCATTTAAGAAAAATTAAAATTTTCCTTAAACTACATAATGCTATATGAAAATATTTATATTTTATGAATAATAATCATTAGAATAAATTATTAGATTCGAAATTCCTAATTAAATCTCTATTTAATATTTCTTATGAGCATAAGTAGTATACACATATATTTTTATATAAAAAAAATAGACTGGTGATGATAAAATTGAATACAGAGCTTGGAATCCATTTCGGTCAAAACTAGCAGCTGCAATATTAAGTGGAGTTGGTAAAATTTGGATAGAACCAGGTTCTAAAGTTTTATATTTGGGAGCAGCGTCTGGGACAACTGTTTCCCACGTGTCTGATATAGTTGGTCCTGTAAGTTTTTCACTCCATTTAGTTTCAATATATTTTTATTTCAGTTTTTATCATATATTATTGCCTGAAAATTAAGCTGAATGGGTAATTCCTCAGTGTTTCAGATGACTTTTTTTAATATAGATGAAACATGTTATGAAGATTAAATATTGTATATTTGATAAAAATCAAAATTTTAAAGCTCTAACTTAAATAGAACCAGAGTTATGGGCCTTCAAATTCCAATAAGGATGTTTACTTGGTTTTAATGATCTCAAAATCAAATTACTAGATAAATACTTAGTCCAATATCACAAATTATGTACCATTTTATAGCTCTTACATTCTCCCTAAGGAAATACCAAAGTTATTTTAAAATATTTTCATTTTTGACGTATTTCTGATATAAGAAAAAAAATTATCTTGAGAAGAGTTTTGAAATGAAACTCGCCAAATATGTTTATTACTTATAGTTATATGTAAATATTTAAATAAAGATATTAATGGATAATAAATTTTATTTAGTTTTTTATAATTTTGCACATATGCATTTTATATTATATGACCATTAATATTTATAAATTTATTATATATATATACTAGAAATTTTAAAATAATTAATTTATTTGTACTCCAATAAAAATAAAATATATTATAATTATTTTTAACAATAACCTATAATATATTTTTTTATTTCTTAAATTATAAAAAATTAAATAGAATTTAAATTCTTATTTTCTCCTGTACGCTCATTTTTAGAGAGTAACTAAGTATCATTCTACATTTCAAAAAATGTCTTATAAATCTAATTTATCCAGTTATTCAAAATATAAAATGCCGCCAATAGAGATAGAAAGTTAATTTTGAGGCAGGTGATTCTCAATATAAAATGATATTACGGAATTACCTTTCCCCAAATTTGCAAAATATTAAACTCAATAAAAAAATTAATATAGGATTTAATATTAGATGCATAAAATAGGACAATATCGTTCAATAAATCAACCAGCTTTAACTTAAATATGATAGACATGGCCACGGAAAGGGGGCTTCCCTCTCCTTCAAAGAAATTTTTGCCCCTTAAGCCTGTCTGAATTTTTTGCCTCTCAGAAATAGCCTCAAAAAATTTTTCCGGCCCCAATATTTTTAAAAAATATTAATTACTAAAATTTCATTTGCATTAACATTAAATCTAAATGAAAACAACAAAATTCTTAAAAAAATATATGGTTGATAAAACATGAAACCTCAAAAGGTCATTTAAATTCAATATGACTTGATAAAAATTGTAATGTAAGAGAAGAAAGGGAAGTATCGATTATAGTGAACCATCAAGTTGAGCATAATCAATATTTGATACATTTCTCAGATTACAAAAGCACTTAGAGGGATTCCCACTACAATAACTGATGCTAATTTATTCTTTAGGACTTTTTGCAATGTTTTGATTCACCTGCCAAAAAGTTAAAAATTTTAAATCAATTCCAAAAAATTCCTAATACACATCACCTCAAAGTCAAAAAGAGAAATGGTGTTGGAATCTATCTTAGCAATTATAACAAAAGTGAGATGCCTTTTTTTTACCTTAAGGCTGACAAGACAGATGCAGCAAGTTGTAAAAATTTGAGTTAATTATTTGGTATAATTTTTGTGAAAAAATCTAAGAGATTAGAAAGTCTTTCTGCTGAAAGCATTTCAAAAATTTTTCAACTTAATGATTTAAAGATTAATTCATCTAATATAATGAGTCAGGCCTATGACGGTGCAAATGTATTATTGGTTAAAATACTGGAGACAAACTTTCCTCCAAAAAATGAATAGAAGGTGTCTTTAAATTCGTCTTCTCAGATAATTTAAAAAAAACGAATACGCGATTTATTTTTGCGCGTTTTCGCCTAATAATGTTTTTTAATTTAAGCACATTTCATTTTTTTTTTAATTTCTACTTTCAACTTTTTATTAGTATTGTTGAATAAATATTTAGTAAAAGATTTTATTAAGAAACTAATAAGGAAAATTATTACAATAGATTTGGAAAGGGATACCAATAAAATATTGAAATATCCTAATTTACCATCTTATACATGGAAGTAGAGTCAATGTTACTAATGATGATGATATAAATATTTGCAATGTTATAATATATTTATTTGACAATTATGATATAATAAAATAAAGAAAAATATTATATTGATAGATCATTATTTGGAAATTATATTAAAACATTAGGATTTTCAATAAGCATATTCCATATATTTGTTTAAATATTTTATTTCTGTAAATTATCCATTGAAAAGAAATCATGTTTAAAGCCTTTAATAAAATTAACTATTTCATCCTCTTCTAGTATATTTTTCTTAATTATTTTCAATTTCTCCTGTTAATTCTAAAAAAAATTTATTATGTTTTGTTTTCTTTTCTTAATTAGTGGGATTAACCTAAAATAAAATATTATTTTATTAAATATGATTTATTACATTCTCTATGTCATTGCTTGCACTATTTTCTTCACTTAAAACATACAAATAATGACTAAAATTAGATAGCAATAAATTCTAAATTAATTGAAATTTTGATATTTATATCAGACCTGCAGAGGTACCATTTGCACGGCCCGGCCCGGCCCGGTTTTAAATTTTTTAGGCCCGGCCCGGATATTTTAAAAAAAAATTTTTACGTCCCGAAGCGGCCCGGATTTAAAAATTTAAGGCCCTACCCGGCCCGGATATTTTTTTAAAAAAAATTTTACGGCCCGGCCCGGATATTTTTTTAAAAATAATTTCAGGCCCGGCTCGGAATTTTTTAAAATTATATTCGACCTGGTATATACAAAAATTCACCTATGAGGTATTTTACCATATCTTTCAGCGAGTATTATCGCTTATTATTTAAAAAATATATGTAAAAAGCTAATATTTTGAGAATATTATATTGAATTTATAAAAATTATAAAACTGTTATTTATAAAAATGGATATTTTGAGCATATACTATATTTTATATTGCATTTATAAAATAAAACTATTCATAAAAAATGGTAATAATATTTGTCATATACTATATTTTATATTACATTTTAAAAAAATAAAACTAATATTTAAGTTATAAAAATGGAAAATATTTTGAGAATATAATATATTGTATTTAATTTATAAAATAAAAATAAATCGCTATTTAAAAAAATGCATGCATAATAAATAGTATTTTGAAAATATAATCTAATTGCACAATATTAATATAATTTATTTTATAAAATAAATTTTTTACAAAAGAAGATAATTGTATTATATAATATTGTAAAAAAAAATAATGAAAAATGTTGGATTAAAAACTTTCATGACTCAAGGTAAATATAATAAATGCAATAAATATTTGACAGTTTGCAAAGTAAAAAACCAGCATGATTGACGAAACCCTATACTCAAGAAAGATATTAAAAATTCACAAATTATCATGAAGAAAGAGAAGCATATCTACCTTTTCAGGTTGAAGATTACTTCTTCTTTCTTCAAGAATTCTCCCAGTAGTGGAAAAATTCCGCTCACGGCTTGCACTTAAAGCAGGAATTGCCAATTTTGCTAAAATTGGAAATTCGCTTTGATGAGCCGCCCACCACTCTAACAAATTATCCACCTTAAATATTTGATCTATTATTTATGTAATTATAATATTCATCATCGGGTATTGACATATTACCAGAATTACCATCACCCCATTTGTCATAAAACGATTCAGTTTGTTTAACAACAGTCGTAATTTGACTGGTCGATGGTATTTCATTTACTTCCTGAGCCTCTTGTAATTTAATATAATCTTTTATATAGTTTTCCGTCATTTTGCGATCTGTCCCTGACTACATACGAAATTGCTTGAATTTGGGACAGAGAAAAAGAGAAATAAAATGATACTTGTGTAAAACAAATTTTTCAATTAAAAAATGCTTTATGTAAAATCAATTTTATTTCTCCTTTTCGCTTTGAAAGGTATTACAAACTTTAAGAAGTGATATTCCTTTATTTGATAGTTTTGGTAAAATATATTCTAAAAATTTAGATATGAATTATAAAAAAATATATTAATAATACTTGAATATTGGGGCTTATTTAAGATATTCCTTTATTTGATTGTTTTGGTAAAATATGTTGTAAAAATTTAGATATGAATTATAAAAAAATATATTAATACTTTGAATAAATTTGTAGGAAATTAATAATTAGATCGATCTGTGGGTTGTTAGGTAGTGTTAACCGTCACCCAATATTATATTAATCATAACTATAATATAATATAATCTTATAACCATTAACTCATAATGTAAAAATTATTATAAAAAATAATAAGGCCCGGCCCGGCCCGGGTTTAACAATCTTAGGCCCGGCCCGGCCCTGGTTTAACAATCTTAGGCCCGGCCCGGGTTTAAAAATCTTAGGCCCGGCCCGGATATATTTAAAAAAAATTTTTTTAGGCCCGGCCCGGATGTTTAAGAAAATTTTTTTTAGGCCCGGCCTGGCCCGGTATATTTAAAAAATTTAAAATACGGCCCGGCCCTACCCGGGCCGGGCTTAGGGTCGGGCCTGCAGGTCTCTGATTTATATTATGCAATTAATAACCTCTTCTTCAAGGAAAGCATCCTCACTACTTGATTAGATTTACATAATGGAGTAATCATCATTGGTTCAAGGAAAGAAGTGCTTCAAAATCAATCCACTTTCTTTTAAATCCAATGTCTGAAGCTCTCTTTTTGTTTTCCCTCAGATATGCCTTTTAAGCTTTTATATTTTAATTTAGCCTCTTATACTAATAATTTAAATAATCAATATCTAATTGATAAACCTAACCTGACATATTATGCTTTAGGGCCATTCCACGTCAATCGATCGTCGACCCCTTTTAAAATTGTTTAAAATTTCTGGAATTATTTAGATTGGTAAATAAATGAGAAAGTCTTTTATTTTAGCTCTCTAGCACACCTGGTTCCCGAGATATAGGGGCTCAAAAGTTCAAAAAAGAGCCACTTTGGAATCTGTAGAATTTTTAAAATGCTTATATCTCAAAAACTATTATGATAAAAAAATATATAATATCATATTGTAGGTAAAAAAATCTCTAAAGGGCTATCAAAAAATAATAAAAATTGGCACCAATTTGAGTCTTTAACTTCCGGTTTACCTATATCGCTTTACCTCTATTTTTATACAAAAAAGGAGTTTTTTTTCGAAATTTTTTTTTGCTTTTTATTTAGATACCTTTTATAAATAATATGCGATGTCATAACCTTGGCGACGGTATCAACTCTTCCGAAATATACATTTTTACCAAAAATTGAAGAAAAAATAGATGGCGCTAATGGTTGAAAAATATTATTCATAAGGAAAATGAAAATATTGACACGTTTATAAGAAATGTGATAAAATTTTCCAGTTATGCCCCCCACCATTCTTAAAAGGTTTTACATTTTTTAGATCTCTACTTTGATACTATAGCGAATGACTTTTTAGCTCGATAATGTATAACACCTACAGTAAAAACGAATATTTTATCAGGCATATTATCGATTATATTTTACAAGCATATTATTTTACAAAATAAACTGTTTAAAACGATCTCTCTTTCTGCCAAATATTTTTAACTTGTCCGTTCAGATTAATTTTAAATAATTCAACCAGTCTCCAGCTTATTATTTTATCGTCTGTCTACCAATAACATTCGGGATTTGGAGAGTGCAAAAACATATATTCTATGTGCAGATTAGTTAAAATTTTATTCTATATCATAGATGGACGTACCAAATATTAAAATGTTGCAACCAATTAAATCTACAAAGACATGCTTATTATCGCAAGAATCTAAGAAAGATTCTACCCTAGATGACCAAAAAAATTTACCATTCAATTTTATGTTAATATGCTCTTCATGCCCACAAAATTTAGCAAACATTTCTTATACTTCAAATGACAATGTAGATATTGATTCTCCCCCTCATATAATTAATCAAGAGGCTATTGATAACATTAATATATCTCTACAATCAATAGGGGAATATCCCATTAAAAGAAAACTTATGTGAAAAGAAATATTCGAAGAAAAAAATATTTAGAGTAAAAAAAGTTTTAAAGACCAAAATTATACCATTATCTTCATCAAATGATAAAAAATTCGATGAAATTCTAGATCCCTCAAAAATCAATTTCCGAAAAATTGTAAAAGAATTTAATATTTCATATCATATGGCGTTAAAATCAAAAGGTCTAGAAAAGGGGGTTTTTTCAACGCCGAATCCTAAACCCGGCAAAACAATAGATGCCACCACATTTGCTGTTGTCAAAACTTTTTATAGCAATGATGAATATAGTAGATCGATGCCTGGGAAAAGTGATTTTGTTTCTAAAATAAAAAATGGTGAAAAGATTCAAGTCCAAAAGAGATTAATTTATAATTTACGAGAGCCATATCTTAAATTTAAAGATATTCATTCAATTAAAATTGGAATAATTAAATTTTGTTTCAAATATATTTTAAATTATGGAATATGATTTTATCTATATTTCTATATATTAATAAAAATGAATATTAAAAAAATTATATGAAAGATATTTATTATTGAAAATTTGTTACATTATTAAGTGTCTAATGGGCATTTGCCCACACTGCCCCTCAATTTAATTAGTATATTTAATAGAAATTCAAAATTTTTTAGTATAAAAAGTGGAAATATCCGGTTATTGATAAGTTAGCAGCAAAATTTTAACCATAATCCGTAATTTCATAAAGCGCCATCTATACTTTTCTTCAATTTTTGGAGTCGATTGCGTCGCCAAGGTTTTGACATCGTATTTTATAAAAGGTGTTTGAATAAAAAGCAAAAAAAAATTTAGAAAACAAACTCCCTTTTTTGCTTAAAAATACAAGTAAAATATAGGTAAACCGGAAGTTAAAGACTCAAATTGGTGCCAATTTTTTTTATTTTTTGATAGCCCTTTAGAGATTTTTTTACCTACAATATGATATATTATATATTTTTTTACCATAAATAGTTTTTGAGATATAAGCATTTTAAAAATTTTATAGATTCCAAAGTGGCTGCTTTTTGCACCTTTGATCCTCTATATCTCGAGAACCAGGTGAGCTAGCGAGCTTAAATAAACGGCTTTCTCATTTATTTACCTATCTAAATAATCCCAGAAATTTTTAATAATTTTAAAAGGGGTCGGCCAGCTATTTCTTGATACTCTTTTTCCCTCCTAAATTTATTTTCATGCTTATCACTACTTTATAAGCCTGAGATCAAATTTATCTAAAAATAAATATATCAGGAATAAAAGAATAGTAAGTTTATAAATATGATTAAATAAATAATAATTACTCATATAATTTTTTCAAAATAAAAATGATGCTTAAAATTACGAATTCGCAATAATACAATAAATTTTTTGGCGAAAAATAAATATTTTTTTTATTGAGCATGAAAAATAAATGTTTTTTTTTATTGAGCATAAAAAAAAATGAACGAATATTTGCTAAGATACTCATGTCTGTTAATATTGTTTTCAAGTCGAAAATTAAATGAGCGAATATGCGAATTTTTAATTGTCTGCGAAGACATAGCCCTTATACATTATTTCAATGACAAGTTACATCTTGTTGATAATTGGTATAACAATATTTTTAATTTTTTTCAATTTAGCAAACGAATTTTACAATTTCTTTAGACGTTTTAACATATCCCTTAAATATACAGCGGTACTCTTGAGACTTTTAGACAAAATGTGAACTGGCCATAGGGCAATATCTCATATTATTTGTTAGAATTTTGAGGCTATTGGTGAAGTATTATTTTACTTTCTAATAGAACTCTTAACTCGGAAATTTTCACTCATGATTAAGTCGAAGCCACTGCTCTTTTGTCTCAATGCATAAATAAACTATTATATTGGCCAGTAATTTATTAAATATTAACCACAATTTATCCATTGAATTAGCATCTTCGTCAGTAGATACTAATATGGTGTATGCTAAAAATTTTGTTGAAACTAAAATGAATATATTAAAAAATAAGAGGTGAAAATTTATTAGACCTGATAAAGAGTAAGGCTGAAAATTATAGCAAAATTTAATCTGGCCCTAAAAAATTTTTGAGTATTTGTAAAGTCTAAAAATTTGAATTTTTTGGTTAATACCAAATAAAATTTATTGAAATAATTAATTATTTTGTTGAACGTTTTTTTAGATATTTATTACCGATGATTATAATTTTTATTTTGTTTTAATGCATTGTCCCTCCTTGACCCAAATTATTTTATTGTAGATCTAATAATAATTTACGATCCATTAGCTATAGTGGAAAAAAGGAAACCCCAGAAATATTCACATCTTACCTATAACAATATTTATTCCCATCGTAGTATCAGCAAACTGCTATATTGAGAAAGTTGCAAAATCCTTAAACAAACTAATTCACCAAAAGAGCACAAATATAACAATCTTTAGGGCTCTTTTGATCAAACAAAATTCAGATTTGAAATTTTACATTACAATTTTATTATTTAAACATTTATGGGCACCACCAGAAGAATGTCAATTTTAGTTAATGAACCAGAACATCTAAAATAATTACAATTTATATTTCGAATTGATATTATTTGCAAAATAACATATCTTAAAGCTTTTTTTGCAATATTCAAATTTTCAACAATTATTTATTTAATTGTTTTCTGGCGCCATAAAAAATTGACCTAGCCCAAATTTATATTTCTGCTTATTCTTATATCAATTTAATCAGTAAGCATATATAGCTAACCCTCATTTTAAAATTAATATCTCATTTAAAAAAATATATATTAAGCCTTGAATTTAATTCATCTCCTTCAACGTAATGGGCTTAAGAATTCTTGCAATTTAAAAACTTAAGAAAGAAGGTTTTTTACTATATTAGTTTAAATATAATTAAACCTGAAAATAAAATTATAATTTCACATAATCCTTAAGGAAGGCCGTGTGTATGCAGTGGAGTTCTCTCATCGTTCAGGCCGGGATCTCCTAAATGTGGCTAAATCCCGTTCCAACATCGTTCCTATTATCGAAGATGCCAGACACCCTCAAAAATATCGTATGTTGGTGCCGACTGTTGACGTTATTTTCGAAGATGTGGCCCAGCCAGACCAATCTCGCATAATGGCCCTTAACGCACAATCCTACCTCCGGGCTGGAGGCCATTACATTATATCCATTAAGGTTAGCCATGTTTTATATGATGATAATTCTTTTAACCTTTTATAAATTAATCCTAATTTTTGCCCCCTTTGCCAAAAACAGGCAAATTGTATCGATTCAACAGCTCAACCGGAGGCTATATTTGCTGGAGAGGTTCAAAAATTGAGAGCTGACAAATTAAAACCTATGGAACAAATAACTCTTGAACCTTATGAAAGAGACCATTGTGTTGTGGTTGGTGAATATAGGTAATTGAATCATTAACCCAAATAGGGGGTATATAGGGGCAGGGGTCAAGATAATAATTTAAGGGACCATTTACAATAATAACTACAGGATGATACAATGTCAAATTTGTTAATATTTAACGAATCGATATATTTACCATTCGCATTTTTATGAATAATCTACTATTCCCATTTGTTCATAATGAATTACTCAAATAATATAAATAAATTCATTTTGCATGAATTATATATTTAAATAATTTTTACTGATTCATTAGAAAAATTGTCTGAGACATATATTCTTTGTCTAGTCATCTCACTTTTAATTGGTCTTTTTCGTACTTTTAAATTTCCCCACTTTTTTTCACACCAATTTTAAAAGGCTTAATTCCCTAAGTTAATTTTCTTGGGCTCTTTCCAAATGGATGGACCACATCTTAACATACCAGCCAGAGTACGAATAACATTTCTGCTCCTTCCGTTTTTTATGTAAACTTACTACAATTTCTTCCTCTGGGCCTAGTCTGTAAGAATGTTTGCCAAGGTCTTCCTTTTGCTATCGATTATTTGATTCCTTATCAAAACTGGCAGCGTGTGATAATAATCATCTCTGCAATCTTGGGGACAACATTAAGTCTTTATTATATACCATATCAATAAGATATTCTCGTCATTTGGTTAGCCCAAAAATGATTGTCAAATCTTGTTCTATTTAAGTTTCTGCTTATTGAAATTCTCTATAAAAAATATTTCAAGGCATTATATCCCTTATTGGATGCACACTCCTAATGATTTAGAAGAAGAAAAATCACTAAAATTTAAATAAGGTGAGAACTGTATATTTTTTTAAAATTTGCATAAGTTTATAAAAATATTATGTAAATGAATGAAAATAGTTTAAATCTCTAATATTTATATAATTATGATTTTTTATTGATATTTATTTAAAAACCAATTGTGCTAATAATTTTATTTGTTCGAATCAAATAACTTAATTTACTATTCTAATGAAACGAATCAAATATTTAATTATCTTTTGATATCCTATGGTTTTATACCTTGAAAGTTAAGTTTTGACTATTTGTCGCCCAAAGCTTATTTGTGAAAAGCTTGACCCTGCTTCATTAATTAGGATTGAAAACAATTATTTTCAAGCCTCTTATCCTTATAGTTTATATTTTGCGTTTTCTACCCTTCCCTCCACCAAATTTATATTTTTCTTTTATGATTTTTAATTGAGTGTTATTGCAAAGAATGAGTGGACACCATTTTTAGTGAAGGCTCTATTTACTACCATGCTATCACTCAGAATCAGAGTTACTGGCCATTTCAACTCGCATAAATTAGATTAAGAAAATTCACATAATACAAATTCATTTTGACATTTTATTGTCCAGTATTAGAATTACTAAATTGCTAACCTTTGTCCTTCAAGGGTTAAATAATTTTAATATAATTATAGTTAAATATATTTTAATATTTAAATTCAGGCCTCTATTAAAGAAAAAATAACATTGGAATACATGTATAATGAAGATATTCATTTTATTGCACGAACGTACAACTTTTATATAATAATAGAAATACTCTGTAAATATTATTGTAAATTTACTATTAGCATAAATAAATGTTTAACATAAACGAGAAAAAAATTCACGAGGCCTTATGTAATTTTTACAAGTATATAAATTAAATGAATGATTGTTGTTTATTATACTCAATAACTTAATAAATTTCCAATTATTCAATTTGGGATTTATTTGATGCATAAAATATGATTTTATTTCTTTTAGGATATTAGCTCTAAAAAAAATTCTAAAATTTTTATACATGCACCAACCATGAAATTTTCCTAAATTGGAATTGAATTGGTCGTATCAAGATCAACAGTAGTTATGTTATGTTTTAAAATGTTAGTAGCTTAGCTAAGATTTATATATGGGGGTGGGGAATCTAGGAAAATATTTTCCCGGAAAAAAATCCCCAGGAAAAAAATTCCCCAGAAAATAATTCCCAGGTAAACAATTCTCCGGAAAAAAAATCCCCGGAATAAAATTCTCCTGGAAAATAATTCCCCGGAAAAAATTTCCCCACTATATATTGAATTGCTAATGCATTGCTAAACTGCTTTGCTAAAAAGCAATCAATCATAAATCAATCAAAATTTTATTATGTATATTTTATTAATGATAATTTTTTAAACTTTTTTTAAAATATACTTAAATCATTTTTTTATTATAAATGAAGAATACTGAATAAATATCATATAGTATATAATTTTATTTTTATTTAATATTATTGGTAAGAAATTTATTTTTCTAGCTTATTAAAACAAAAGTACATTTTATTCAATTTTAAAAATTAACAAATATATATCCGTAAGAGGGCGTTATATGTTTTAATATGTATCATTTTAGGAAACCGGAATTATGATTGGATAGCACTTTTTTTATGGTATATATACATATGAAAAACCTAAAAATTAAAAATTTTTATAGGTTTCTTTGATGTTTAATTTATGAGTATTAGAATAGTAAAACAATGGAAATTTTCTAAAGTAAATATTGCTGGCGTTATTTATCAAAATCTCTTCATTTTTGTTTTATACGTGTATATTTACGTGCTAATCATTATCCTGAAAAATATTATGATTTGACCGATTGCCAAGTTCAAAACCGACCATTTATTAAATATTCGATTGATCAAATTTGCTATTAAGATAAATTGAAAAATGTTGATTTTTGTTTTATGTATCTATAAATACGTATAAAACATAATTCCAAAAAATATTTTAAAAATATCGTGATTTGACCCGAAAACCGACCGAATGACCAAATACTGCATTGCTGGGGTTATCCATGGAAAAATCTTCATTTTTGTATTATACGCGTATATATATACGTGCTAAGCATTATCCTAAAAAATATTTTGAAAATAATTTGATTTGACTGATTGCCGAGCTCAAAACCCCACTTACTAAATATTCGATTGATAAAATTTACTAGTAATATGATTTGAAAAATGTTCATTTTTTGTTTTATATATCTATAATTACGAGTAAAACATATACGAGTCGGTTATCCGCCAAACCACGATATTTTTAAAATATTTTTTGGGATTATGTTTTATATGTATTTATAGATATATAAAACAAAAATGAACAATTTTCAGATTATATTACTAGTAAATTTGAATCTAGGTAAATAATTCCCCGGAAAAAAAATCCCGTGACCCGGATCTGCTCGGCAGTATTTAATTAAATAGAAAAGTTTTTTAAAGTCAAATTTCTTCAAGGATTTGAGATTTTAAATAATAAAACGAAAGTTAAATAAATCTAGTTCACACACTTTCATCAACTTTTCGGTATTTATTGAAAAATTATTTTTACACAAATTTTAATCATTTTTTTAGAAATATGATAAAAGGCTTTTCACAGTTTACTAACTCTTAAATAGCGCCCCTTTTTGTTTTTACAAGGATAAGCTATTAAATAATATAATTTTATAAATTTTGTGGCGAAATAGGAAATTAGCAATTCAATCTGATACCCTCTATTTGATAAAAATTATTTTACTGAAGTATTTACCTACTTTAAGAATTTAACTGACTGAATACAAAATCACTATAAAACTTGCAAAATTATATTTTTTACTGCCCAATTTTAATTAAATACTGCCAAAAGTAATGAAAAATGCTTACCACTTTAATCAAAATACATCCAGAGATGATTATCAGCAGTGAGTATTATATTTATCTAATCTAACAATTATTATTTTGCTTATGAATTTTTTTTAAAAGTTACAGAAAAGAAATAATTATAATTTTATTAAATGATATATAGAATAATAAATTATATTATTCAAAAGAAACAATTCTAGAACGTATAAGTTCTACAATTGAAGAGAGAAAATTGGGCAAGTCCCTTCTCGCTTCTAAATAATCAATGCATAAATTTTTTTAAATAGTTTGTTTCGTTGCATAAATACGATTTTTTTGGGAGTGTATGTCCCAATATTCCATTAGCCGATTTTTCCCATATCAACCGCTATTTCCATCCTTATTTTTTCGAGTAGTTCCCATATCTTCGGTTTTTTGTTGCCTACAATATGCTTAAATCGGTTATTCCATCCTTCACATACATTGTTTGTTCGATTTTCCCCAGCAATCGTAACATTGAACACATTCCATGTTTCTGGTGGGAACAATGGCTCTAGTGTTGTTAATCGGCTTAGCCGAGTCGGCTCGAACAGAGCTCACCCAAATTTTGGGTCGTTTTTTCGACTCCAACTCAAAGTTTTGGTCGTTTTTTACGACTTCGACCCGAGTTCAAGCCGAAAAAAACGACTTCGACCCAAAATATGGGTCGTTTTTTTCGACTCAGACCCAAGTCCAAGCCGAAAAAAACGACCTCGACCCAAAATATGGGTCGTTTTTTACAACTCCGACTCAAAATTTGGGTTGTATTTTTCGACTCAAACTTGAAATTTGGGTCGTATTTTTCGACTCAAACTTGAAGTTAGGGTCGTATTTTTCGACTCCAACTTGAAGTTTGGGTCGTATTTTTCGACTCCAACTTGAAGTTTAGATCGTATTTTTCGACTCCAACTCAAAGTTTGGGTCGTTTTTCTGACTCAGACTCAAACATCGGGTCGTTTTATTCAATCCGACCCAAAATATGGATCGTTTTTTTTAAAGACGCCTTAAAGTTAGGGTTGCTTTTTTTCACCTAACCAAATATCTAGATCATTTTTTTCGACCAAAAGTCAAATAACATTTAGTAGATATTAATATTATAGGCGGGAAAGTTTCTTAAAGCTTCTTTAAATTATAACGCTCTGGATTTAACTATATCCATCATAGTTATTTTTTAAAATTTTTAAGTAAAGATGTACCATAGAAAAGAGCCATTTGTTATGATGGTTATTTTTGAACTTTTTTAAATGAAATAGATAAAAATATATATTGTAGACATGTTAAATCAAAATTTCAGTGAAGATGTACCATAGATAAGTGACAATTGTCAAAATCGACATTTTTGAACTTTTTTGAATTTTTTATAGCAAATTGCTAAAAATATATATTCTGAACATGTTAAATTAAAAATTCAGTGAGGATGTATCATAGATAGGTGACAATTGTCATAATCGTTATTTTTGAACTTTTTTCAATTTTTTTAAAGGAAATAGCTAAAAATATATATTCTAAACATGTTAAATTTAAAATTCAGTGAGGATGTATCATAGATAGGTGACAATTGTCATAATCGTTATTTTTGAACTTTTTTCAATTTTTTTAAAGGAAATAGCTAAAAATATATATTCTAAACATGTTAAATTTAAAATTCAGTGAGGATGTATCATAGATAGGTGACAATTGTCATAATCGCTATTTTTGAACTTTTTCAAATTTTTTTAAAGGAAATAGCTAAAAATATATATTCTAAACATGTTAAATTAAAAATTCAGTGAGGATGTATCATAGATAGGTGACAATTGTCATATTCGTTATTTTTGAACCTTTTTTAATTTTTTTAAAGGAAATAGCTAAAAATATATATTCTAAACATGTTAAATTAAAAATTCAGTGAGGATGTATCATAGATAGGTGAAAATTGTCATAATCTTAATTTTTGAACTTTTTTCAATTTTTTTAAAGGAAATAGCTAAAAATATATATTCTAACATGTTAAATTAAAAATTCAGTGAGGATGTATCATAGATAGGTGACAAAAAATGGTTATTATATATACGAGTAGTTAGGTACATAATAATCTTTAAGTGATAAAATGAGATGCTAATATATTTCTTGTAATTTTAATTTATAATAAAATTCTTAAATATGTTATTGTCATAGACTGGGTTAGAAAATCAACTATCACATAAACTCATCTATGTTTTATTCATATTATATTTTTAAGTTTGAGGATATAAAAATATTTCCTCTTTGAAGTTACTAGTTAGGATAAAATTTACTTGGCACATCTTACAATGATATTTATACTTGTTTTTTTTTTCGAGAATAAATTTTATGCGATATCTCATGAAGGAAATTACAAATCATTGTACAGAGAAATAACTTTGTATATATTATCTGCACCCATATCTTTTTTATCAATCTCTATCGATGACATTTTAAATTATATTGGAAACTAGATTGTGTAGATTTCTAAATATTAATTTAAAAGATTAAGATGCTAGAATTAATTATAGATATATCTTAAAAATTTGTATATGCATTTATTATTTAAAATCTCTCGTTTTAAGCCTATTTAGCAAGAAAAATATTGACTAATTCTGAAATTGATAATAGATATCTATACCTTTATATAATCTATGAGAAAAATTGCTCTCATAATATTCTTCATAATAAAATAGTGAAATTAACGCCTGAAAAAAAGTAAGCGCTTTATAAAATAGTTCAAAGTTAATCCCAGTATCAATTTTAATGTGTAATTTTTCTCAAGTGTTCAAAATTCTATATCTTAATATCAAAAACTATTTTAGTTATCATTTTAAAGTCAAATAATATTAAAACACTTATATTCTCCAGTATTCATAAAAAACAACAGCCTGAAACAAGAATACTAAGCTCAAAACATCTTAAATATTTGATACATTTATAGTTTAAATATTTTTATTTAAATTATAT